GGCAAAGACAATGAAAGACAGAACTAGTGAATGTAGGAGGGACTGAGACAGGCACATTACTATGGTACTCATGGGGCTATCAACTGGTCTAAATATTCTGTAAGAGTCTGAATTGTGTGAGGAGTCACTAAATTATTCATGCTCCTTGACCCATAAACCTACTCTGAGGAAATCAAAGACAAAAGGGCTCCACCGATATGAAGACATTCTCAGCAGTGATTTTTGTGATAGCAAAAACTGAAAACAAGGTAGATGCCCAGTGTCTAATCAATGGCTGAACCAACTATGGTTATTAAAGAAATAGAATCTTACAGTGTGGTTAAAAAAAAAATGAATCAGGAATTCAGAGAAACAAGTGTCTGAGAAGAGGGGCTCTGGGTGTGGAATGTTATATGTAGTGGCCTAGAGGTTTGCTTAACTGTTTTTGTTACTAGATGGGGGGAAACAAAGTGGGAGTGGGGTGGAAGGTGCCGGTGTGTGTATCAGGAAAACAAAGGATAGCAATAAAACTTTAAAACAAAAACTCACGAACAGCTTGAAAAACAAAGTATGTATTCTTTAACTACAGGAGTGAATGTGAAAACAGCCAAATAACAAAAGACTACACACTGGGAGCTTTCTCCTAGCAAAGAAAAGAAGGGCACTTAGAAAAATAACAACTCACATTTATGTAACATTCTTTAAGGTTTACAAAACACTTTCCTACTAAAATGTGGGTAGTGAAAGTATTTCCTCCACTTTACAGGTGAAGCATGGAGGGAAAAGTGATTTGCTTAGGATCTTACAGAGTGTGTATATGAGGCAGCATAGCTTAAAGCGGGGAGAACTGGTCTTGAAGCTAGGAAAGATCTGGGCTCAGGATGTACCAGACACATAAAGGATTTGTGACCCTGGGCAAGTTACTTAGCTCTAAACAACTCTCCAAGACCCTAAGGTGCAGAGAAGGTGCTGACCAGCATCGGCAGAAAGAATTTCCTCACCTGGGAGTTCCCTATGCTAATAAGCCTAGTTCCTATCCAAATCCATAATTTGAACCATGTCCTCTGACTTAAGGATTCCAAGATTTATTCCATCATACCACAGTTACTTCTGACCAGTAAGACTGGTCAGAATACCTGGTCTAAAATATCTGTTGGAATACTTCCTTGTTCAGACTAAAATCCCAGTGAAACAGAGTAGCACATCTATCCCAAAGACAAAATTTCAATAAAAGAATCTACTCCAATTCTTCAATAGAAAAATTTAATTCAACAGAAGAATCTAAAAATAAATGTTTCAGAATCTCTCCAGTATTATCACAATTGGCCATTTTTTTTTTCAACTGAAAAGGATGCATGACATCCTTTTTGTTCTGCTCACATACAAATTTAGGGTTTAAATATGTACAAAAATAAATTTAACCTCTCAGAATCTCTCCAATATTATCACAATTGGCCTTTTTTTTTTTCAACTGAAAAGGATGCATGACATGCTTTTTGCTTTATTCACATACAAATTTAGGGTTTAAATATGTACAAAAATATATTTAACCTCTCTGTCTCACTTCCTTCATAAATGCGAATGTTTGGAAAAAATGGGAAGATTAATTGAAATGTCTTAGTGTTATAAATCTTAAAAGCACTATATAAATGCTGTGTAGAGACCTTATGAATACTTGAGACAAATCCTCTACCTGAAACTTCTCTAAGAATAAACAATATAATTTGGACAAAATAAAAACTTTTTTTAAGTGTTTGAAAGCTTCAAGTAAATATTTAAAGTAATATAAAGTGAAATGGAAGTTGGGTAATTATCTAGTTAATATCAAAATCTTCAGTAAAGGTAAATTGTTGGAGATATAAATTATAGTGGTAATTGCCTGAAGACTCCTCAGCATGGCCTGTTTGCACTGAGAACAAGATGCAAAGAGCTGGCAAATGGCTTATTTGATCAATCTAAAAAGTCATTCCACATTGGGGAATGCAAGGGCTACAGCAATTAGAAGTTTTGGACTTGAAAGCCCTGATCTTTGCCAGCAGAGCCTAAATTAATTACTAATTTAGTTTACTAATTACTAAACACATAATTACTAAATTTGTTTATTTTATGAAGACCTACTCCTAAGTAGAAAGAGTATGTAAATCCTTAAATGAAGGTAAAACACCAACTTTTGGGACTATTTTTATAACATGTGGAAATGTAATATTTTATAAAGAAAATAAAATTACTCATCCAAGTGTATTTTTATGTTTTAAAAAGTTAAATGATTTCTCTGACCAAAAAGAAAATATAGAAAACCAGTTGGTACTAATGTGGAAAATGTCAAAACAACCCCCCATACACTTTCTCACCATCACAACCAGCATACACTATCACAATTAATAACAAAGTCTTTTAAATTCAGGGCACAGAATCAGCACTATTATTATGTAACCATACAGTTTTAATGAAGCTTTTGTATCAAGGGCCTGATTTTCTTGTAATGACAGCACTTACTAAGACCTCATTAGAGAGAATGGAATACACACATATACACACATATGACCTTTTAAGGACAGAATGCCTACATGCATGCATACATATATGTAACATATGCATGACCTTTAATAGATGAAAATGTATATATACACAACCTTTTATGGATGGAAGACAATATAATACATATATATGTCTTTTATCCAAAAAAGATTTTATATATGTATATTTTTTTCATTCTTTTTAATGAGCTCTTAGTAAGCACTATCATATACACATATGACTTTTCTGTCCTCAAAGGCATAACAGTGGGATCTTCTGAAAGTTTATTTTTACATCTACAAACATAATTGGAGTTTTTAATGACATAGAAAATTAAAGGAAAAATAAAAGTAAATATTTGAACAAGCCTAAAATATTGTATTCATGCAATTTTAACTAAAATGTGATAGATTACAAGTACTAAAGGGTCAAGCTAAACTGAAATTTTCATGTACCCAGTGGGAAAGTGTTTAAAATATAACTCAAGTTCACTGAAACCATATAACCTCTTAAATTCCATAAAACACAGTAATCTCTAAGTTAACAAGAAGGAAAAACATATACTGTGTCCACAGACTTTACTGACTTTGTTAATGGGATCCTAGATTTTAACTAGACACTACATCGTGTAAGGACCTTATAAGTCATTTAGTCCAACCTCCTCATTCTGAAGCCTAGAGCTGAAGTGACTCATTCAAAGTCACATGGGTTGTGAATGGCAGAGTGGGGATTTTTTGATCTGGTGGTCTGACTCCAAATCTAGAACATATACCACTACCTAGCTAGATGCCTTAATGGATAGAATGCTGGGTCTGGAGTCAGGAAAACTTGAATTCAACTTTGGTCTCAGATATTTACCAGCTTTGTGACCCTGGGCACTTAGCCTGTTTGCCTCAGTTTCCTCAACTAAAAAATGGGAGTGATAATAGCACCTACCTCCCAGGATTGTTGAGAATAGTTTGTGAAATAATCATTGTAAAGTGCTTAACACAGTGATTAATGGTAGCTATATTATTACCCAGAAGGCATTTTATTAAGTCAGATAAGTCTATTCTGAACATTTTTTTAGGTCACAACCCAACACTTGACTGCCCTAATGCAGTGGTAAGCAGCAAATTCAGGACATTCAGTAACTCTCCTACACATAATTAAATAGTTTGGGATATCTAGATTGTTCCAATTCCCAAACAATTGTGCTTGTACATGAGCACCAAGAATGTTTCCAAGTTTTGTCAGTTTGAACTCTGGTTCAATCTAAGGGTGTCTGTGGGCAAAATACACCCATTTTGAATGACAGGAAACACAGGTGCCACTCAAGATACACACAACTTGCCTTAATTTGAAAGGGAACAGAAGACAATCAACAGGCTTTAATAATCACCTAAGACCAGCCTTGACCTAAAGCAGATGTGTCAGTGATCAATCCTCCCATTATTTCAAATGAGGTGGAAGAAAATGGGGAGTTGGGAGGGATAAAATTACTTTCCCACAGAAATTAGCCTTCAAGACTTACACACAAGACAAAAGCCATTCAGGAGCTACAGAACTAAAGGCTAGAATCCAGAAACATTGATCAGTCTTCATTGTTTTGACCAGACAAAGGTCCGTTCCACACAGGCCTTCTGTACACAATTTAGCATTCTAAACGAACCAGGTGACATTATTTTCACAAAGACTCTAAGGGAAAAGTAAAAATGGGTGGGGTAGGAAGGATGGAGGCAGAAGATAAACCAATTCAAATTTCTGTCCTAATGCAGCTGGTGAAAGGGTAAATTTTAAAGACCTAAACACTTCCACTTAACAAAAAAAAAAATTATTAAATAGGTAACAAGAATGGCCAAAAGACATCTGAGAAACATAACATTTTAATAGATGAAATAAATACTCCAGTACATGCATGATAAAAACTGACATTGGGGAAAAAAATCACTTTTGTTATAGTGTAAATTTTTGAAAACACACTCACAGTAGCTTTCCCCCAATTCGCAAAAGACATGGCAAAAAACTCATAACCTTCACTCTTTCCACAACAAGTGTACTTCTAACCCAACATTCAATTTAAAAAAAAAAAAAAACACATACAAAAAGGTAGCTACATCCATGTCTAATGTGTGAAACTGAGGTAACCTTTAAAACAACAACAAAAAAAGGACAAAAAAAAAATCTATAATCTCCTTCCTGCGCAATTTAACAGTAAGATGTGGATGGGAATTTCTGAAAGAATGGTTGTAGAGTTGGGAATAGGGGTGGGAGGGTGGCAGAAAAGAAAAGAAACCGAACCCAGCACGGTTAAAGCTCTCCCATCCCCCAATCCCAGGAATTGTATAAAACTTTCCAAGGTTAGACTCTCCCTCACTTTTGTTTCTACTTATGGTGATGCTTTTGAAGGTATTTCTCTCGTGAATTTCAAGTGGGGTAGAGGGAAAGGGGGGAAAATGGGGTGTGGAGGGGTGAACTTCATCTAAGCGATTTCTTTGGTATAAATGGGCGGGGAGGGAAGTATTTTTCTGTAGTCACAATCAGGGGCAAGAAGGGAATAAACTGGAGAAGGGGGTGAAGGTGGGTGGGGGGCAGTCGGGATAGGGTTAATTCACAGAATTGGAATTCACTGGCGGTAAAGTCCTGGGCGAAGACCTCTCCCTTAGTGCCTGAGATAGCAGGTTGCAGCCGTCCGAGACGGCGCAGGCTGAATTCCTCAGCCTTTCCCTGTGGTCTGTCATCTTGGCGCCCCCGTCGGGGTGCTGGGCTATATCCCTGAGGCATTGGGTCAAGAGCACGCAGGCCGACACGACACTCATGGCCCCACCGAGGATGGCGGTTTGCACCGCCTTGCCCTCGGAACTGACGGAGGCGGCTCGACCCAGGAACTGGGGCTCGGTGGCGAAGCCCACCAGGGCGCTGACCGCCTGTACGAGGGGCCCGCTGAAGAGCGCGCAGCGGCTGCGGGCCAGCTCGCTGGGCGCCGCCTTCACCTCCCGCACGCAGGCCAGCAGCGCCGACGCGCTGGTGCTCATGCACTTGACGCCCAGTTTGAATTGCTCTCGGGCGAAGCGGTCCCGGGACTTTTCGCTGGCCAGGGCGCAGGCGTCCGTTAGGAACTTGAGATTGCGCGACAGGCTCTGGGACACCTCCAGCAGCAACTGGGGTGTCATGTCCGCCAAAGGAGTTGCTCGCAACACCCCACACCCCTGCTCCACTTCGTGCCGGCAGCGGGTCACTCGGTACCGGTCCACCAAGCCCGGCTGTGCCGGCTGTGCCCCTGGGGTGGCCACCGCGGCTAAGTAGGCGGCATGAGCCGAACACTCGGTCAGCGAGACGACCAGCTCGCCCAGCTCCGCCAGACTGTCCCCGGCCTCGCTGAAACGGCCCATGTTGAGTTGACTTTGTACGTCGTGAGTCAGGATGGAGAGCCCTTTTGTGCGGGCGATGATGGTGTCCCGACACTTTTCAAAGGACTCACCTCCGGGGCCGGAGGAAGCAGTGGAGCCTTCCGACAGCACCGGTCGCGCCTCACTAGACAGCAGCAGCAGATCGGCCACCAGCTGCATCTTCACCTTGCAGTGGTCGCAGACCGAGACAAGCCTCTTCCGTGGCTGCGAGCCGACCCCGACGGCACTCGAGTGACAAACACCGCTAGCAGGAGCAGGAGGAGAAGCCGCCTCGCTAGTAGACTTCCCCGAACTCCCGCTAGCCATAGCGCCGGGGGAGCACTGGCATGCCGCTGGGGAGCCCGCTACCGCCGCCGCTGCCGCCCCCGGAGCCGTCCCGACTGAGCTGGGCAGGGCCGCGTTGCCTTCTCCGCACCATCATGCCATCCACCGCCGCGAGCAGATGGCACCAGGGCTGCGGCGGCCGAGATAGAGACAGGGCGGGAAGCGAGCAAAGAAGAGAAAACGGACGGCCGCCTTAGGGGTGGAGGGAAGCACTTCAGCGTTCTGCCTCTTTGCCTTGGGGGCTGCAAGCACCATCAACCGCCGGGAAAAAAGGCAAGAAAAAAACAAAATCAGCACTCCCCACCAGTCGGGTTCCGGGAAAGTCCGCACTGGTTCTGTCTCCGCCGTGGAGCCACCGCCGCCTCCTTCCTGGGCATGGCCCTGCCAAGCCGACTGGGGTGGGGGAGGCTGGGAGTTGTCCTTCCTTCCTTTCTTTGAAATCAAAATCCTTTTTCTTAGGGAGGAGCTCCGGGAGACTGCGGATGCACAAACCCGATTCTGTTCTCAGCACTTAGAGGGCCAAGCTCGGGCACCTAGGCGCACGTGTGTCTCTAGAAACGCAACCGAAAGAGAAGTCACTTTGGAGCGGCAGAGACGGAGGCACGCACAAGCAGCGGCGGGAGCAGCCGTCCCGCATCTCTCTCTCTTTCTCCAGTCTCCGGCTATCAGGAAGCAGCAGCAGCAGCAGCAACCACCCAGCGGAGGGTGTGGCTCGCCTCGGTCAGCCAGGCTGCGAGAGTCGAGTCCGGAGGGAGCTGAGCACAGATTTAGCGCTGGCCGGGGCCGGGCGCCCGCGGGCCGCTAGCTAGCACACCACGCCCGGGCGCGCCTCGCCCGGCGCCCTCGGGGCTCGGGCCGTGGTGGCGGGGAGTTGCCTTTCTTCTTCCTCTTCTCTCCACCGCCCCCCACCTACCCAGCCCTTTTCCACCGGGCTTAGATTCACTTTCCGCGGCTGGGCTGGGAAGCGGCGCCCCTTCCCGGACCATGCATCAAACCTCCCCAAGCTTGCTCCCGCTCCGAATCCATCCTCTCCAACGGCTGCTGCTGCGGCTGTGGCGGCTTTCTCCCGAGGCCCCGGCTTAAGCGCATCCCCCCCCGGATGCGGGCTCCCTCCGGCAGTGGTGGCCTCTTAAGAACTTAGAAGGTTCCCGCATACAAGGGAGGGGTCTCCGGGCTGCTGCGGGAACCAGCTCGGGCCCTAGCTCCTGCCATTTTGGTAAACCACCAACTTCCGAGCGAGGGGAAAAAAGAAAGAAATTGAAGGAGAGAGGAAGGCTGGGGAGGGGAGGGGGGGGGCGCAGAGGTGGAAATAAACAAAAAAAAAAATGTTTCCTTTCCCAGCGCGTCTTCACCTCCCTGGGTGCAAAGTAGTGGGGGAGCCCCCGCTGCCACTGCCACCCAAACGCTGCATGGGTTGAAGGGAGGTTTTTCCTCTTCCCTTCCCCCCCTCCCTACCCCGCTCGCCTCGTTGCCTTTGCCGTAACCTCACTTGAGCCTATAGAAATCTTTTGTGTGGCGTCACCGCCCTTCGTTTAAATCCTGCTTCCTCCTCTACCCTTTCCTCCCGCCCCTCTCGGCATCTCCCGGACGCTTGCGCGATTAGCTGCTCCTCCCCTGGAAACGGGGCGGGCGGCTGTAAGTAGTCGTGGGAGCGCCAGCGCCTTGCTGCGGTCAGACCTGTCCCATTCATCTTCGGCTCACCCCGATCCTCATCCTAAACTCTAAAGGGGATAAGCCTTGAGGCAGTCTGTTCTGCCTTTTTTTTTTCCTTTCCTCCATCCCCCTCTACCCACCGTAAGCCTCTCCCATTCAGAAGAAGGGAGAAAAAAGGGATGGGGACTGTCGTCAGGTTTTCTAAAACAGCTTCCCGCAGAAAGGACTGCAGCATGCCCAGTGCTGGGGCACTGCTTCAGCCTTCTCCTTTAGGCAGGCTGTTTGCATGAGTCAAAATGAGAGGGTCCCGCGCTTCCTTCAGGCAAAAGGAAAGCAGAGGGTGTCTAAAATGCGACACTTTGCAGGGGTGGAGCTGGAGGAGGGACAGGAAGACCGCATCAAGGTATTTTGCTCTCTGTTCTACTGTGGCCCAAGTCTGCAACATCCCAGGCGTTCCCTGGGTTTGAAATGATCTAATCAGACACGAGGTACTGAATGATGCTCAGTTACAGCACTATGAGGAAACCTGCGTTTCTTCAGAGGTTCCAGAGCTTCCTTCCATGCACATAGTAGGTATTTAATAAATGATGGTTTTAATCCCCGTTACTCGACTCCCATTGGAAATAGCCTGCATACTGAGGTCTAAACAGTGAAACAAGGGGGCAGGGAGGAAGGGATCTGGGTACTTTACAAACCAGCAGTTGTATTGCAGAATTAGCCAGTCTTGAATGAAATGAAACCACTATTAGATGAATTAAGATCTTATTATTAATTCTTAGATTAAAAGACAGATCCTAGGGGAGATTTCCCCCTCCCAGCTCCCACCCCTAAATTTTTTTCAGCGACCATCCCTTAGTGGGAGGATTTTTCCAAAACTAGAGCTGTTATTCATGACCTTTCTTTTCTTCTTTCACTTCTAAGATGCAACTGTTCTTTTACTGTCCCCTGCAGTAGGCATAGCCATAGTGTGTATGATCAAGAGAACATGTGCTCTATTTTATACATCTCGCCCTACACACACACATATATCACATATATACACACAGAATTTCTATATCTACGTATGCTATGTTATATTGATACAATATATTTTACAATGTGCAGAATGTGAAACCTATTTTATACATAGAAATGTGCATAAAGTTCAAATTCAATATATTAAGTTATTGTATACATTGAATCATATACTGAGCCAATTACACGTATCGCAGATATAGATATAGATGTATATATAAAGAGAGCATATGTGGTGAACTATATTTTGCAGTTTCTCACGTGTATGTATATAGGGCAAGGTAGATATTACAGGTAGACGGCTTCTCCTTACTCTATTATCTTGCTTTGGTAAAGGTATTGAACTCTGTCCCAGACCCCCCAGCACCACCACTATTTGTTTCGCTCTCTAAATAGGACATCCCTCCTGTTACCTAATCTCTTGGATTATGATCCTTACCTACCCTCCTTTGCTAATTCACCCTTACTTTTTAATCTCAGCCCAGATGAACTTTACCCCTTCTCCCCTCCGCCCCAGCTTCCCCTGATGCTGGGATGGTAAGGTGTTGTTTCTGCTTGAGTAAATACAAAAACTTCCGATCAAAATTCCTGTCCTTGAAGTACTTGAACTCTGGAACTATGCAGACAGAAACTCTCTGAACTAGTTTCTCTCCTCTATTCTGGTCTATTTAAGCTATTACCGACCAAAGCTTTAAGGAAATTCTTACTCCAGCGGCAAATTCAGTTTGTAGGGAAAGGGGACAATCCATACCTTTTAAGAATCAAGTGGGATGCCTCTAGGCAGTGCCCCTCACGTCTTGTTAATAGTGCTATGTGGGTGCTAGCTCTAGCTTGGTCCCTTTCTTGCATAGTTGTATCCTTCCCCCTTTCTTGCATAGTTGTATCCTTCCACCCTACCTTTCATCTCTTTCTTAAGTACACACTTCTATTGAGTTGATTGCCACTAGCCTCTCCTGTCACTCTTTACCTTGGTTGGGTTGGGTTGGGGGCTCTCTCTTCTACACTAGAAATTCCAAGGTCTTTTACAACTGTGCCCCCAGGGTCACCACGCAGGGCTCCCAGCTTCCTATCCTGGATCACCACACCCGACCCTCAGGGAGTCACCTCTCAAGGCCCACACCTCCCGGCCATTGTCTCTTTACTGACCTTGAACAACAACACATCTCTCGTTCAATTACACTTAATTCCTCTGACTCCACCCAAAACGAGAATGATTCAAATCAACTTAAAATTTTCTGTGTGGGTTGTGGAATTGTCCTTACCTTCTCTAGCACCTTCCCCCACCCTCCCCTTAAAGCTTTAATTTATTATTTGTAATTGGACTCATACACAGATATAACTTATGGCTTTATACTGTTCAAGTAGCCACAGTATACCATCAAATGCTGTGTAGTGAGGAAACCAAGATTCTAACCTTAGCTGTGCCACTAAAAAACTGTGTGATGCTGGGCAAATTAGCCATCCTCTTGTTTCAGTTTCCTCCTGTGTAGAATGAGGGGACTGGATTAGATAATTTCTATAAATTCCTTTGTAGCCCTAACCTTCTATAACTCTGTAACCATTAAATGGTTTAATGAAATATCCACACTTCAAGTGCTATTAACTTAAAATAATTTATATTAGCTTAGAAAAGGATCAGAACTCAACAAAAACAACAATCCAAAAATCCTTTATATTTGACTCTGCAATGTGTTTCACAATATGGCAATACCCAATAAAGTAGATATTTATTTTTAAGCTTCTTGAACAAAGCAAATGGGAGGGAAAGCCTATTAGTGAAAACATGATTCAGAAGGAATAGAGGAGTTGTCACATTTCCCTGTTGAGGTCCCATCCTTTCAGTGACCGCTCTGTATTGGGCATGTGCAAAGAAATCAGCAACTTAAATAAAGCTGCATTCTCTCAGAACTTCTCTTGAGCAAGGGAGGTGGTAAAACGTTTAGATTAACAAAGGTTGCCGTCATCACTCTACTCAGTTGAATGAAGGCCCCTCACCACTAAAGAACCAGGAGCCACTACCACCACCACATGAAGTACCCTGCCATCCACTTTTCATTGGGATTGTGGTAGAAAGTGACGGTGTGATGAAGTGGCAGTGTGCTTCCTGGAACCAAAGGTCCCTACCACAATACCTTCCCCAGTGCTCTTAGGATCAAAGCTATAACAAGAGTGGGACAACTAGAATTTTGCCCAAGGTAATTGAATTTAGAGGACCCCAACAGCAATTTCAGTCCTTTGGAAGTATAGAAACAACAGAGTTTAACGTATAGGTAGAAGGCATAATTTGTTCAAATGCCAGGCTACTAGATACCAGCATGATAAACTTCTTTGCTCCCCTCAAGTGTCTTCACCATCTACCTCATACCCAAAGTCCCAGGCTCTGTTTCCC